TTGCGACCAGGGTCCCACAATTCTATGAGATGTTAAAATTAGAGAAAATACATTGATGATGAGATGCAGACTCTCTTGCAACTTTCCTGTAAATCTAAAGTTATTCGAAAATAAAAGGTATATTTTTAAAAAGTGTGATATGTCAGTCTTTCTCTACCCACAGCCCTCCATGGCTCCCACTTTCCTCAAGGTCAAAACCCACATCCTTCCACAAGCCCACCAGGTCTTGTCCGACTTGCCCCATCCCCTCCCACCCTCCTCTCCTCTGTCTCTTCCCCTCCTCACTCTGCTCCAGCCACATGGGCCTGCTTGCTGTGCCTCCAACATGCCAGGTATGGTCCTGCCTCTGGGCCTTTGCACAGGCTGTCTCCTTGCCTGGAATGGTTTTTCCCTAGACAGCCATGCAACTCAAGCCTATGTCTCCTGAAGTATATGCTCACATTTTACAAACTCAGCGAGTCACTATAGCCCCTCCCTTGCAGTGAAGTTCCTTTATTTCACATCAAATTAATTAATTATTTTTTTTTTTTTGAGACAGAGTCTCACAATGTTGTCCTTGGTAGAATGACATGGCATCACAGCTCACAGCAACCTCAAACTCTTGGGCTTGAGCAGGTCTCTTGCCTCAGCCTCCCAGTAGCTGGAACTACAGGTGCCCACCACAACGCCTGGCTATTTTCTTGTTCTTGTTGTTTAGCAGGGCTTGGCTGGGTTCAGGCTAAAGGTATCCTCCTGCCTCAGTCTGCTGAGTAGTTGGGACTACAGGTGCCCACCACGATGCACAGCTAGTTTGTCTATTTTTAGTAGACAGGCTGGTCTTGAAATCTTGAGCTCAGGCAATCTACCCTCCTTGGCCTTCCAGCTGTGAGCCACTGTGCCCAGCCTTTTTTTTTTTTTTTTAAAAGAAAGAGTCTCCCTTTATTGCCCCCGGTAGAGTTCCGTGGCAGCATAGCTTATAGCAACCTCTAACTCTTGAGCTCAAGTGATCCTCTTGCCTCACCCTCCCTAGTAGCTGGGACTACAGGCACCTGCCACATGCGCAGCTTGTTTTTTGGAGACAGGTCTTGGTCTTGCTCAGGCTGGTCTCAAACGCATCAGCTCAAGGGATCCACTCGCCTCAGCCTCCCAGAGTGCTTAGATTACAGGTGTGAGCAACTGCACCTGGCACGTCTGCCCTTTTTAAAAAATATTTATTTATTTATTTATTTTTTGAGAGAGGGTCTTACTCTGTCACCCTGAGTAGAGTGCTGCAGCATCATAACTCTTGAACTTAAGCGATCCTCTTGCCTGAACCTCCTGAGTAGCTGGGACTACAGGTGCCTGCCACAATACCTGGCTAATTTTTCTACTTTTTTTTTTTTTAACAGAGTCTTACTTTGTTGACCACAGTAGAGTGTTGTGGTGTCATAGCTCACAGCAACCTCTTGGGCTTAAGGGATTCTCTTGCCTCAGACTCCCAAGTAACTGAGACTAGAGGTGCCTGCCACAACACCTGGCTATTTTTAGGGACGAGGTCTCCCTATGACTCAGGATAGTCTCAAACTGGTGAGCTCAGGCAATCCACTCACCTCAGCCTCCCAAGTGCTATAATTACAAGTGTGAGCCACTGTGCCTGGCCTTTTTTTTTTTTTTTCTTCTTGAAGCAGAGTCTCATTCTGTCACCCTGGGTAGAGTGCCATGGCTTCATAGCTCACAGCAACCTCAAACTCTTTGGCTTCAGCAATCCTCTTGCCTCAGCTTCCCCAGTAGCTGTGACTACAGAAGCCCACCACAATGGCCATGTAATTTTTCCATTTTAGTAGACGGGGTGGTCTCGAACTCCTGATCTCAATCAATCCTTGCCATGGCCTTCCAGAGCACTAGGATTACAGGTATAAGCCACTATGTCTGGCCAAAACATTGAACTTTTTTTTTTTTTTTTTGGAGACAGAGTCTCACTGTCACCCTTGGCAGAGTGCTGTGGCATCACACCTCACAGCAACCTCCAAATCTTGGGCTTAAGTGATTCTCTTGCCTCAGACCTTCCAAGTAGCTAGGACTACAGGCGCCTGGGTCAACATCTGGGTATATATATATTTTTTTTAGAGACAGAGTCTCACTTTGTCACCCTCAATAGAGTGCTATGGCATCACAGCTCACAGCAACCTCCAACTCTTGGGCTTAGGTGGTTCTCTTGTCTCAGCCTCCCGAATAGCTGGGACTACAGGTGCCCACCACAACGCCTGGCTATTTTTTTTTTTGTTGCAGTTTGGCCAGGGCCGGGTTTGAACCCACCACCCTTGGTATATGGGGCCGGTGCCCTACTCACTGAGCCACAGGCACCACCCAATATCTGGGTATTTTTTTTGTTGCAGTTGTCATTGTTGTTTAGCTGGCCCAGGTCGGGTTTGAACCCACCAACCTAGGTGTATGTGGCCAGCACTCTACTCACTGAACTACAGGTGCCACCAACATTGAACTTTAAAAAGCTAAAGTGTATGATATGTGAATTCTGTCCTAATAAGGTTATTTATCAAAACAAGACAAAGCAAAGATGACAGGCAGGGCGTGGGGGCTCATACCTGTAATCCTAGCACCCTGGAAGGCCGAGGAAGGTAGATTGCTTGAGCTCACAAGTTTGAGCAGAAACAAGACCCCATCTTTAATAAAAATAGAAAAACGAAGGCAAGAGGATTGCTTAAGCCAGAGTTGGAGGTTGCTGTGAGATTTGATGCCATGGCATTCTACCCAGAATGACAGCTTGATGTTCTGTCTCAAAACAAAAACAAAACAAAACAGCAACAACAAGACAAAGCAAAGATGATAAAATAATTTCCTGCACAACTGGCAGGCAGGGCTGGGTGATGCATTTGATAACTGATTCAACTAAGGTACTAAGGTATAGGCAGAATGATAACAGAACTATTTGTAGAAGCAGTGGTAGCCATGGAGCAGCTATATGATGAAGATTAACTCAATTCACCCATGTCTATCCTGGGAGGCAGTGAGGTAACTGAGGTCACTGGGTAGATCTTTTGCTTCAGGTGTGTGGGCTGCACTGATGGGAACACCACCTCCTCCAGGAAGCCCTCCCTGCTGTCCCTGGGCTCTGCTGGACACACTGGACACCACTCGTTAGGGCCCCCTCTTTCTTTTTCATTTTTTTATTTTTTATTTTTTGTGGTTCACAAACTTTTTTTTTTTTTTTTTTGAGACAGCGCCTCAAGCTGTCACCCTGGATAGAGAGCAGTGGCATCACAGCTCACAGCAACCTCCAACTCCTGGGCTCAAGCGAGTCTCCTGCCTCCGCCTCCCAAGTAGCTGGGACTACAGGTGCCCGCCAAAACACCCGGCTATTTTTGGTTGCAGCCGTCATTGTTGTTTGGCAGGCCTGGGCTGGATTCGAACCTGCCAGCTCAGGTGTATGTGGCTGACGCCTTAGCCGCTTGAGCCACAGGCTCCGAGCCACAAACTTTTATTGATAATCATTTCATAAGATTGTTTACAAAAGATGTATTTTGTTTAACCAGAATTAAACATGGAAAACTCTGTATATAAATCTCCTTGTCTGCAAAAAAAAAAAAAAATCACTTCATAAGAACTAAGTAATTTAAGTTACAAATGGCACTTTCCTACTTTTTTTAATTATTATTTTAATTTTTTTTAGAGACAGAGTTTGTCACCCTTGGTAGTGCTGTGGCGTCACAGCTTATAGCAACCTCCAGCTCTTGGGCCTAGGCAATTCTCTTGCCTCAGCCTCCCGAGTAGAGGGCCCCCTCTTTCTTTGGGGGCAATTGTTGAGCCCCACATGCAGAGATAGGAGGTGAGTCTTCTTAGCTTGACAATGGTTCTGAGCTGAAATAGGAGTGGGGTTCGCCTCCTTCTCAACCCCATAGGCCAATGCCCTGTCCTGCTCTAATAGCAGGCAGGTGAGGGACTCCCAGGCCTCATCTCCTGGCAGCTCCTCCCCTCTACTCCTTAGTCATGCTGATTGGCCCATGTGGCTGTGTCCAGCCACCTGTTGCTGTTTGTCAGTGGGGCCACACTCCCCACACTCCAGCCCTGTCACAAGGCTCAGCGCAGTGGCTTGAGGGTAAGCAGGGCTGGGGGTGGTCGGTGCAGTGGTGTGGGTCCCCTTGGTCTGGGGGTGTCCCTGAGGTCCATGAGGATCCCCAACTCTTTTGGCTGCCCCCCACCCACACACCCAGGGCCAAACACTGGCCTTCCTACCCCTGGGCCCCTCCCCCACTCCATGCTCTAGGCCATTCCAAGTCTTGGCTTCCTAGGGATGGGGACACATTACTACCAGCAGCTGGAGGCCCCAGAGACCCCCCCCCCAAAGCAGGGTTTGACTTGAAACTCTTGCAACCCACAGCTAAAGCCTGTGTCTCCAGCCTCACTTTCCTCATTTGCCATAGGGAACACAGTTGGGCTAGATCTAGTTGCTGGGGCTTATACCTCTAGATTCGCAGGGTCAGGCAGGAGTTTTGGGTGCCAGGAATGGCCCAGAGGGAGACCCTATGGAAGCAAAGGCCTGGAAGGGGCTGTGCCATCTGCTGGCTTGTCCTGCTGGCCTCGGGCACAGATAAAAATAGTCCCTAGCCTTAGAGAACATGAGCTGACCCTGGGGCCAAGGGTTCTGGTTTGGGTTGTGCCATTGACTTATTGGTGTATAGCCTTGGGTGGGCTCCAGCTCTCTGGGCCCCAGCAGCCTTTGCTGCTGCACCCGTGGGTGCTGGGGCAGCCAGCAGAGGCTGGACTATAGAGCGGGGCCCCAAGGCAGGCATGTGGGGCTAGGGGAGGGTGCTCAGGGAGAATACCTAGGCCATGTCTGACATAAGGATGAATTTGTCAAGTGAAAGGTACTCAAGGCAGAGATAAGGGCTGGGATGTGGGAGCACAGGGGCCAGTTAACTCATGTCCATAGAGACACAGGTCAGGCCCAGGCCACAGCAGGGGCTCAGTACATGTAACACTCCTCTTCCCCACCTCTCCCAGGCAGCTCTGGATCTGCTGGATCCATGGCAACCAGAGGCTGGGAGGAGTTGGACAGAGGCCTAGGCAGCTGCCAGGCTGGCAAGGACCTCTCTGTGCTGGCTGAGCCCCAGGAGGACAGGGTTCGAGGTAGCCTTGGGGACTGGTAGGACAAAGCCCATCCCCAGGCATGCCCTTGAGCCAGGATGCTCATCTTCAGAGCAGAGCTTAGTCTCCCACATTGGACTGGCTTGAACTGTGGTCCCTCCGTCCAAACCTAGGTCCCTATTTCTGCCTCAGGGGGTTGTAAGGTGCCCCTGAGGATCACAGGTGCTAGCAGAATCCTACCTTATCACTAAAGTGCTCTTGCCTTTCGGTAAAGCTCTCTCTGAGCCCATCTCCTCTGTGAAATGGTAACTGTCACCTGCACTTCACTCAGCAGAGCCAGGGGTAGAATGTGGGGTTGGCCTAGGGGTCCCTGTCACCTTGACTCTCCCTCTGTTCCCCCCAACAGGGACATCCAGGCTGGCCGACCCTAGCAGCTGGCCCCATGTGAGTAGCTGGGGCCCTCTAAGTGATAGCCCAGGAGACCCTTGGAGTAGGGACGAACTGGTCAAGGTGGGTAGGAAAGGTTTGGGGCTGGAAGGAAACACCCAGAACGTCTGGTGATTTCCCACAGGACACTCAGGAGACCATGGGTGAAGGCAAAAGTGCAGATACCAGGCCCAAGAAGATAGAAAAGGAGCCTGCAGCCAGGGGTGCCCCAGGATCTGGGAAGGAGAAGCTAAAAGCTGGAGCAAGTCTGTTTGCAGGGGGCATGGGTGAGGGGGAATGGGCATGGGACAGCATAAGCCAGGTCCCTGAAGCTGGGTCCTTGGGTGGGCAGGGGGGGTGAGGGGATGTGACCCGGGTTTCTGCCTGGGTGGTATCCAGGTGTGGCAGGAAGCAACTAACTGGATTAGGAGCCTCCATTAATGCATGACACAAGCTGAGGCACCTAAGATTCAGCAAGTTATCATATAAAAGCATCTGGGTATCTGAAGACTGCACAGCCAGGTGTGGCAGAGCTGGGTTCAGGAAACAGGTGACCCCCTTCGCTGCTCCCATGCCTGGGGTGCGGGCTGCCTATACTTGTCTCCGCAGGCCCTCGCACTGCCCCTGCTCCCAAGAAGACACAGGCTGCTTCACCCCTGCAGCCACCACCACCACCTCCGGCCCTAAGCGAGGAGCTGCCCTGGGGGGAGGTGACACTCAACAAATGCCTGGTGCTGGCCTCCCTGGTAGCGCTTCTGGGCTCAGCTTTCCAGCTGTGCCATGGTGAGCAGAGCTTCCCAGAGGCAGCTTCCCACCCCTCCAGGAAAAGGCCTGGGCAGGCAGCCTCTTTTTTAGGGAGGGTCTTGTGCACCCTCATAGCCAGGCCTGCATCTTTCTCTAGAACATGACGCCCCATCTCCCCTTAAATGACGGGCCTTGTCATGTCCCCCTCACCCCATGATGGGCCAGTGAGCTGGACTTCTTTTCCCCTGCCCCCACCTTGTGCACTCTCTCCCTCCACAGGGATGGACCTGGTGTGCCCCATGGTCAAGACTTCCCCCCCATTGTGGACCCTGGGGGCCCTTCCCCTTCAAAAGTTGGGCCCTGTGCGTCCTCTTCCCCACTGATCTTGTACTTGGCTCTCCCCAGTCTGCTCTGCCGCCTTTCCTGCTCACTGCTAAGGAAGCTAGTGAGGGCCTCATTCCCCTACCTCAGGCAGGCCTGCCTCCTTCCCTTGGTAGGGATGCTCCTACAGCCCACCGAGAAAGAATGACTGGTCCTTTTGTGACGGGAAAAAGAGACCTTCCAAGAGAAGGTCTTGGAAGGTCTCTTTCTCGGAAGGATCCAGCCCAACATCAGCTAACCTGGTGGCAAGAGTAGCTCCATCTGTCTCGGAGAGAAGAGCTCTAGAGGTGAGGGAGGGACGAATGGTTGGTGGGTCCCTCCACTCTGGATGACTCTTGTCCTGCCCGTTCCCCGTAGACACAGTGGTTGGAGAAGTGGCTGTCCCACCGCCTGCCCCTGAGCTGTGGGCCCCACCAAGCTTGGTCCGGAAGGAGTCCACATCACTCCCAGTGAGCACTTCCTTCCAGTGACAGCGGGCAGTGGGGATTTTATCTAGAGGGAAAGGGGCCAGGCCTACTGCGGAGGTGGGCGCTGACCCCAGGACCACACTGTCTTGCAGCCTATGCCTACAGCGTGGGCGCCCCTACCTGGGCTGCCTGCACCCCAGGCAGAGGCGAGGGACAGGCCCAAGATTTCCAGGAATCGAAAGGCAACTGAGAAGGATGAGGAGGAACCTGGGAAGACCGCTGGGGAGGATTGCGCTCCCCTTGCAGATCGAGGACCCAAGGAGAGCCAGAGGAAGGTGGAGAAGCCGCGGGAGAGGCCGCGAAAGGAGGAGAGGTCAAGAAAAGAGGAGAGGCCGAGGAAGGAGAGGCCCCCAGCCTCCAGGAAGGCTAACAAAGGGAACTATCAGCCGTGGGCGCGAGACTTCCGGGATGCGGAGCACAGCAAGAGACAGCCTTGGGCCTCCCCACATCGCCCCAGTGAGCAGCACCGGCCTTTGGGCCGCCAAAAGCATATCACAGGCAAGGGGCGAGACTGAGCCGGCCTGGGTTATGCGCACTAGTTCCCGAACCACTTCACTCTTGGCTGTGGCTCCACAGCTCAGCAAAATAAAGCGAGTGCTGCGGCCGCCGCGTTGCCTGCTCTTTTGAGCCTGGACCCAGAACCAAGCACTGGGCCTGAATGATGGGGTTGAGGCGCTGCAGACGGGGAAAAAGACAGTGGGAGTGCAAGGACAGCAAAGGAAGTCCCGCGGCTCCCAAACACGTACAAACACCTCAGCCAGGTGGTGACCAGATTACCAGGTGACCAGGTCTTTATTGAGATGATGCTTAGGGTACGAATAAATACGGGGAGGGGCGCACCGGGCTCCTGAGGACAGCAGTACGTACAGCGTGAGCTCACCGGCAGCCGCACTCCGTGGCCACCATGTTGGGCACGTGGTGCGCACTGATGCGCTCCTCCGACAGGCTGATCAGGAGCTTGCCGGCATACGCGGTAGGCACACAGCAGGGTGGGCGCGCTAGGGCGGCCCCGCGGGCCTGCATTTTGAGCAGTAGCACTACATGGTTGCCATAGCGCGGGTTGCGGTCGGACTGCGGCCAGCCGCACGCGCCCTGGCAGTTGTTGGCCTGGTATGTCTCCGGGATAAGCACCGAGCGCTCGGCGCGGAGGTCCACGCTGAGCTCCCGCAGCGCGCACGGCCCGTCGGTGGTGGCAGTCCCAGCGCTGCGCTGCGCCCGCCCCGGCCCGCGCAGGTCCCGCCCACGCCACTCTGCCCGTAGCCCCTGCAGCGCCTTCAGGAGGAGCAGCGCGCGCAGTGGCCCGCCGGGGCCGCCAGAGTCTCCCGGGCACAGGGCAAGCAGACGCGCTAGCAGCGGGACTGCGGCCGGCGGCAGGCCTGGAAGGCCGCGCAGCTCGGCGGCCGCCGCTTGTAGCTCGGCAGCCACTCGTCGCGTCAGGCTCTCAGTCCACGGAGCCGATGTTGGGCTCTGAGGCGCCGCGCGGTCTGCGTCTGCTACAGGCGGCAGCAGCAGTAGCAGCGGCTCCTCGCCGTCGAGCATGCGCTCCAGTGCCGCGGGGTCCGACAGGTTGACCAGGCCCTGCGGAAAACTGGCCAGCGCATCTGGGTCCAGGGACAGGCGCGGCGCTGAGGCCTGGGCCGGGAAGACCCTCAGCGCGCGCACTAGGCGCGTAAGCGTCTCCAGGAAGGGGTCCGCGCTGGGCGGCGGCTCCTCAGGCCCCCGGGACGGCCTGAAACCCGTCGTGGGGCGAGTTAAAAGCGGGCGCCAGGCAACGCCTCCCCCACCACCCTCGCTACCCCCACCTGGGCCTGCGCACACCTGGGCGGCGGAAAGGGCACTGTATCCAATTGGCCTTGCGCGGGGAGCGGCGTGAGCTGGGACCCGGGCAATAGGAGCAGGGCGGGAGTCATCCGCGTGAAGCAGCGGGGGTTGTCGGCAAACAGCAACACTTGCAATTGGGTGGTACTCAGAGGGGAATCTGCGCAGGCGGCGCGGGGCGGCTCAGGCGCTGGGGGCCCTGAGCAGCTGCCACCGCCCCACTCTTTGCTGTGACTTACCGTCTCCGCGGGACCTCAGGGTCAAGGCGAGCCCGGAGCCGCGCCAGGCTTCTTCCGGGCGGTCCAGGGCCAGTGCCAGGTAGCGGGTGTCCCGGGACGGGCAGAGCCTCTGCGGGGAGGGGCCCGGCCTGGCTGGATGGGGTGGCAGCGCCGCCGTGCCCAACCCTGCTCTCCTTCCTCCTACCACCCGGTCCCAAATCCAGACTTGACTCAGCCCTCCTATGAAGTGAACCTTCTAACAAATCCGGTCCCCTCCCCAGCAGAGAGGGCTCCTGGGGGGCCCCGGGCGTGCACCTCCCTGGTACCTGGGTGCCGGGCAGCCCAGCCCCAGCGACAGTGACCTCGGGGCCGCGCCCGGTGTACAGCACCAGCAGCGCCAGTTCTGGGGGACCAGCTCCTCCAAGTGGGGGTTCTTGGAACCTCAGCGAGGGTATTGGCTCCCAGGTCACTGCAGCCACAACGGGATGCCTGAGCAACAAGAGCCTAGGCACCCTCCCCACCTGCCCATCTGTCACCTGTCCTGCAGGAAGAGCCCCTACCCCACCCAAGAGCCATCCTTGCAGCTCTGGACTTTAGGACACTGATGCATGGTCCTCTCTGCTGCTTCTCCCAGCCAGGGAGGAGTGACCGTCCAGTGGAGAGTGGCAATATCAGGGTTCTGGTGGGGTCACCACCTTGGAGCCTCCGAGGCTGGGAAGGTCCCAGGAGCAGGCTGTCTGGGGTATGGGGACAACTTTTTTTTTTTTTTTTTTTAAAGAGATAAGAGTCTCACTTGATTGCCCTCAGTAGAATGCTCTGGCGCACAGCTCACAACCACCTCCAATTCCCGGGCTTAGGCCATCCTCTTGCCTCAGCCTCCCACCTAGCTGGAACTACAGGCACGTGCCAAAACACCTAGCTATTTTTTTGTAGCAGTTTGGCTGGGGCTGTGTTCAAACCTGCCACCCTCGGTATCTGGGGCCAGTGCTCTACCCACCAGGGATCTGTGCAACTTCTGACCCCAGACAGGACGGTGATACCTACCCCCCAGGGCAGAGACTGGTGGGGATGGATCTCTCCAGTACCCAATCTTTCTGGGGAGGACCCTGGGCCCACCTACCTTCCTCCAGGTGCAGGACTAGCAGCTGCTGCCCCTGTGGTGCCCCCAGCCAGGCCCCAAGGCGCTGTAGAAGGAGCAAGGCAGCCTGCTTGTCGCCTGGGTTGCAGACCCCAAAGGTGGCCAAGTCTTGGGGCCCCCAGTGAGCCTGCTGCACAGCCCTCAGGAAGGCCCACTCATAGCTGCTCAGGGACCCTGCCACCTGCACGGGGGCTCCACTGTGGTTGCTGTCTCCACCCAGAGTCACCAGGCACAGGGGATCCCCTCGGCTGCCTGATGGCTGCCAGTCCCAATCTTTGTGAAAGATGAGACCCCCTGTGCTGGCAGCTGGCTCTGCTGCTCTAGGGGTCCCAGCTGCCAGCAGCAGAGCCAGGAAAGGGAGAGGCAGGCCATGCATCATGGGTGCTACCAGAGGAGGCACTGCCCTGGCTTAAATGAGACAAGCCGAGGGTGGGATGTTATCTCCTCTGTGGTGACCTTGGGGGACAATGCCCAGCACCCCCAGAGCCCAAGCCCAAGCAGCCTTCTCAAAGAGCCCTTTCTGTACTGGGCCCCAAAGCCTATCTCCCCTTACTGTCCTTGAGGGCCCCTCCAGAGGGGGAAGGGACTTGCTGGGCTGCCAGATGGTAAACAGTGGCAGGTCTGGTACTAGGGAGGGGAGAGACCAAATGTCCTAGTGTTCAGGCCCTTGGGTGGGTGGGCCTGGAGGGTGGCCCTGAATTCAGCTTGGTCTTCCCACCCCTGGGGAGCTGCCTAGAGGCTTCCAAGGGCATTGAGTAGTTTGGTTTCCCCTCCCAAATAGTGGGCCCCCAGACCCATTCCTGGCTGGCTGGCAGATGCTGGTAGGTTTGTTCTCCATGGGGTGGCCTCCAGGAACCAGCTGCCACCCCAGCTATGTACAAGGATCCTCCAGTAGCTGCATGGTCTCCACAGTTGGACCCCATCTGGTACAGGGAGCATTCAATAGCAGCCCTCTGAGTCCCATAGCACCACACTTAACACATCATTCCTGCCACAAGTGGGGGAGGCTGTTTACTGAGCTCAGAACAGTACAAAAGATGAAAATTCTCTTGTGAGAAACTGCAGGAACACAGAACACCAGGCTTGCTGGGCAAAGGGGTCACTACTTAGTTGGTTGGGGGAGGAGGAGGTATATTCCCAGGGCCTTCGGAAGGAAGTGGGGGCCTCAGCATTGGAGGCATGGGAGTTGGGGGGTGTACCCCAGGATTTGAGGGGTGTACCCCAGGGGGCTGAGGGTGGACCCCAGGAGCTGGAGGATGGACACCAGGAGCTGAGGGGTGGACCCCTGGGGGCTGAGGGTGGATCCCTGGGGCTTGGGGGTGGACCCCCGGGGCCTGGGGGTGAACTGCAGTAGTTGAAGGATGTACTCCAGGGGCCTGGGGATGAACCCCAGCTGATGGAGGAGGGTGGACTCCTGGGGCTGGTGGGTGGACCCCTGGAGCTGGGGGATGGACCCCGGGAGCTGGAGGGTGGACCCCAGATGCTGGTGGGTGGACCACTGGTGCCGGGGGATGGACCCCAGGGGCTGGGGGATGAACCCCGGATGTGGGAGGGTGGACCACTGGTGCTGGAGGGTGTACCCCAGGAGCTGGGGGGTGGACCCCAGATGTGGGAGGATGGACCACTGGTGCTGGGGGGTGGACCCCAGGGGCTGGTGGGGGCAGCTGGGGAGGTCCTGGGGGCCCTGAGGGTGCAGGCCCTGTGGGGGGCATGGGGGGCAGGGGCAGGCCCCCAGGTGGGGGTGGTGGCAAAGACTCAGGCAAAGGAGGCCGAGGAGGCAACCCATTCATCAGTGGGGGTGGAGGCCGCTTCACCCCAGGAGGCCCAGCAGGAAGGCTGGGTGGAGCTGGGGGCTTCTCCATCTTAAAGTGGAACTGGAGGAAAAACTAGAGAGAGAAACAAGAGGATCAGCAGGACCGCTGCTATGGAGGTGAGGCCTGCCAGGGCAGCTGCCATGAGGCCCCAAGCTACCCGGGACTTGCCATAACTGACCTGCTTGGTTTCTCTGTTCCAGTGAGTCCAAAACTTGCCTTCAGCCTTGTCGATCTCTCTGCTAGGTACCTAGGAGGATTGGGGGGGAAGGTGGGCAGAGAGGGCTCCTGGTCTCTGGCCTTCAGAACCATGAGGGCCCAAGGCCGCAGGGCTGACATTCAGGCAAGAAATTTAAGGGAGCCTGAGGTGCCAGTTTCCTGTGTCCTCCAAGGGGACTCCTCCTTAGAACCCCAGGGGAAGGCCCAGCCCAACAAAGTGTTTTAGTTGGGACAAGGTTCACTTAAAGAGTAAGATAGACTCTAGCTCAGTTGCTTACCAATTCCACCACCCTGAGAAGACTGCAGTCTATGTCACTTGTCACTGGCCCATGCACAGGACACAGGCTACTGTAATCCCTCAAACAGCCTGGCCTGGGAGAAGGGGGTGTTAAGTAACTTGGCCAAAACGTCACAGACCCACTTGTTGAGCCCACGTCAGGGTCTGTACTTTGTGGGCACAGTGGGAATCACTAGAGGCACCTCCTGAGAAAAAGGGAATGCTCAGAGGGGATACCACCACCAGAGGGGATAAACACCCTGGAATGAACTGGCAGTTGCCTCAACCTGAACTGTACAGACCCCTCTTTTTTGAGACAGGTCTTACTCTGCTGCCCTGGGTAGAGTGCTGTGCCGTCATAGCTCACAGCAACCTCAAGCTCTTGGGCTCAAGTGATCCTCTTGCCTCAGCCTTTGGAGTAACTAGTACTAAAAGCACCTGCCACAATGCCCAACTAGTTTTTTTTTGCAATTTTTTTTGGCCAGGGTTGGGTTTGAACCCGCCACTTCTGACATATGGGGCTGGCGCCCTACTCCTTGAGCCACAGGCACTGCCCCATGCCCAACTAGTTTTTTCCATTCTTTTTTTAGAAGAGATGGGATTGGCTCGGCGCCTATAGCTCAACCGGCTAAGGCGCCAGCCACGTACACCTAGGGTGGCAGGTTCGAATCCCCAGCCCGGACCCGCCAAACAACAATGACGGCTGCAACCAAAAAATGGCCGGGTGTTGTGGCGGGCGCCTGTGGTCCCAGCTACTTGGGAGGCGGAGGCAAGAGACTCGCTTGAGCCCAGGAGTTGGAGGTTGCTGTGAGCTGTAATGCCACGGCACTCTGCCCAGGGGGACAGCTTGAGGCTCTGTCTCAAAAAAAAAAAAAAAAAAAAAAAAAGAAGAGATGGGATTTCACTCTTGCTCAAGCTGGTCTCAAACTCCTTAGCTCAGGCAATCCACATGCCTTGGCCTCCCAGAGTGCTCAGATTACTGGCGTGAGCCACCACACCTGGCCTATAGACTCTTCTTGATCCCATGTCTCATGGGGTCTTGGGGGACCCCAGCAGTTATGCTACCTTGAAGGCAATGGTCTCATAGGGCTCTGCAGCCATTAGCAAATATTGCCAGCGCCGGTCTGGGGGCTCGATCCTCTGCTCATAGGCAGACATGAATCGGTGGCGGGGCATGATGCCCTCAGCAATCTCAGGGTAGTCGATCTGTGGAGACACAACCAGGTGACAACACTGCTCTTCAGGCGGTACCTCTGGGACCCCCTCCTCTCACACCTGGCACCTGGGGTCTTATCTCACCTGGAAGAGAAGGCTCTGCTGGCCCATCTCTGAGTCCCTCTGCTTGGTCACTGCAACACACAAAAGCCTTGGGTCAGGGCTGGCTCACTGCCCTAGCTAACTGTGCCCACTCAACAGGGGAGCAGGTCACCGGGAGGGTTCTCCACTAACAGCAGCCGGGCCCGGGGACTCTGTGCTACAGGTGAGGCAAAGGTGTGACAAGGCCAGATCACCTACCCTAGATCATTTAAGACAGGAGTTGGAGGGTCCTCCTCAAGGCCTGCCAGCAAATGCTGTTCAAAGGGGTGCTTAGTCTCATAGCCCCTAGAGGCCTTGGCACTGGCCTTGCCTCTCCCCTTGGGTACTGGGACACCAGAGGGCAGAAGCCAGGGACTTCATGACTGGGACCCAATTGGGGCCAGCCTGAATCCCAGCACTGTACATGGAGGCCTTGTACATCAGAATTCAGCTCCTAGGTGTGGTAGTTTCATCCCTGCAGGGCCACCTGTCTTCTAGCTGTCCTTCATGTGGCCCCAGGGCACATCATGCTCCCTGTCTCCCCAGTGCACTGAGAACAGGCCTAGGGGCTCCAGCCAGCCCTTGTTCCTCAAGCAGACCCTGGGACTATAGGGTCCTGTCTGTGGTATTAGCACATCAGATACCCCACCTTCTATGAAGAACACTTGCTGGGTAGGTTGCCTTCCTTCCTCTCCAACTCCAGAAACACAATCCCTATGTTCCAATCTGAATGCTTAACCAGTTTCTGAAATAGCCAAACTGAGAACCTACCCTCTGCTAAGGGTCCCCACTCACTAAGCTGCCTCCTAGACAAATTCTCTTTCCTCTTCTGAGTTTCAAGTTCAAGGAGGACATGCCAGGGCCCCAATGCCCTCCCATGAGATCGCATGATGCCCTAATAGGAGAATAAGAGCACAGAGGGGAAGCCAAGCTCCACATATCAGTGCCCAGGGCACACATGGGCCAGCAGGGTGAGGAGGGTGTGGACCCTGGCTCAGCCAGGAAAGGGACTACCAGACAGGATGGATGCTTGCCCAGCCCAGCCTAACAGCTCTTAGACATTGGGAGAGGTTATAGATGGGTAAGGGATGGCCTCAAAGGACAGAGCACAATAGTGCTAAGGCTCAGGGATGAGGGTGTCAGGGTCCCAGCTTCTGTGCTGGAGCCCAAAGAGTTCATTCATGCTGTGACAGCAGCTGCTAGCTGGTGCTGTTCCAGACAGACTTACCTTTGTAGCCTGGGCGGCCAATCTTCACAAACTTCTTCACCTCCACCTTGACCTTCTCAGGTGCAGGCTGGGCAGGGGCCTCCTTCGCCTCCTTGGCTGCTCGCCGGGCCCTACAGGCAGAACAGACCCAGCATTGGGGCCCCTCCCCATGCAGACTACCAAGGCCACGGGCCCTAGTGCTGGCAGTCCCTTTGCCCCGACCTTGGAGCTCATCTATTCTGGGATGAAGCAGTGATAGGTTCTTGTCACACTCCCCATTGTCTCTTGCTGGGGCCCTTTAAAAAACTCCACGCCTCTTTATTCTCCAATACTGATCAGAGACCTGACTCTAGCCCCAGGCACAGGCTACTCTGGTTTCACCATCTGGTAACTGGGACTTGAGGGGTTCACAGAGACCATCAGCTATCAGAAGGGATGTGAGGTACTCACAAGTTGGTTTGGTGCTTCTTTCCTTGGGTATGTGCGAGATAGCTTCCCTGGAGTGGAAAAGGAAAAGGATAATTCAAGGATAAGTGCACAGGCTCAGGATGCAGGTCTCCATTCCAAAGTTGGGCCATTGCTAAGACCCTGTCAGGGCAGGCACTATGCTTTGAGTGGTGCACCCAGAGATGAGACAGGGCTTGTCCCAGGGACTAAGTGACTAGAGAGGCCTGGAGCAAAGAGGGTCCCAGTGCTAGAAAGACCAATTCTAACAGGTGTGAAGGGGGGAAGGGAAGTCTGAGGAATATCAGTGCTCAGGAGTGTATGGGATGCTCCTAGGCACATACATGTGGATCCACCTGGGCTGGGAACAGCTGCTCAACAATGAACATGTCCTGTGACCCCATTACTCCATCTTGAGAGTACCCACATGGACAGGATACAGTGATCTATGGGGGATTGCACGAGGGGTGACCCTGCAACCCCTTAGGGGACAATGAGCAATGTCTGGGTCGCTGCTCAGCACCAACAGTGCCCAGAATGGCCCCATCCCAGAGAATCATCCAGATGTCAGGCAGAGGGAAATAGCTCTCCTCAGCACTGTCTTGCAGTAGTGAATGAATTGGGAAGCAAACCAAAACAAAACCTATCCCTTAGGGAATGAATTAGTCCAATGTGAATTGACAGTCCAACAGATGAAGTGAGACTTGAATGATCTTATGACTTTTTTTTTTTTTTTGAGACAGTCTTATTATGTCGCCCTAGGTAGAGTACTACTGTGATGTCACAGCTCACAGCAACCTCAAACTTTTGGGCTTAAGCAATTCTCTCGCCTCAATCTCCCAAGTAGCTGGGACTACAGGCGCCCACCACTATGCCTAGCTATTTTTTGGGGGGTTTTTTGAGACAGAGCCTCAAGCTATCCCCCTGGGTAGAGTGCTGTGGCATCACAGCTCACAGCAACCTCCAACTCCTGGGCTCAAGCGATTCTCCTGCCTCAGCCTCCCAAGTAGCTAGGACCACAGGCACCCACCACAACACCTGGCTATTTTTGGTTGCAGCTGTTATTGTTGTTTGGCAGGCCCAGGCTGGATTTGAACCCGCCACCTTAGGTGTATGTGGCTGGCACCTTATCCACTTGAGCCACAGGCACCGAGCTTAGCTATTTTTTTGTTGCAGTTGTCATTGTTGTTTAGCTGGCCTGGGCCGGGTTCAAACCTGCCACCCCGGTATATGTGCCTGGTGCTGTAACTCTGCTATGTACGGGTGCCAAGCCAATCTTATACCTTTTTTTTTTTTTTTTTTTTTTGCGGTTTTTGGCCAGGGCTGGGTTTGAACCCGCCCCCTCCGGCATATGGGCCTGGCGCCCTACTCCTTTGAGCCACAGGCACTGCCCCGATCTTATGACTCTTAAATGATCTGAAGCCACATCCAGCTAACTGTATCTCAAAACCACAATGTAACCTGAAAAAGCCAGTTCCAAGTGATGAGTATTTGTTATTATTTGTGGGAGACTCAAGACAAAAGGCTTGTGATAGTATCTATTATGGCTACACTTCCTGCTCACAGACACATGTTTATGTGAGATGTGGTATCAACAGTGTTCAAAGAAAGTAAGAGAATGTCACCCAGCAACCAGCAGTATACTGGGGCTAGAGGTATTGGATGGAGCTGGGGACAAGGGTACTCAGCCTATATCCAGAGCACTCATAGAAAGGCATGACTTAAAGCAAATGCCCCAGTGAGCGAGTAGTTCTGAGTGGGAGGTCTAGGCTTTTTTTTTTTGAGACAGAGTCTCATTTTGTCGCCCTTGGTAGAATAACATGGCGTCACACAGCTCACAGAAACCTCAAGCTCTAGGGCTTAAGCGATTCTCTTGCTTCAGCCTCCCAAGTAGCTGGGACTATAGGCGCCCGTCACAATGCCTGGCTACTTTTAGAAATGAAGTCTCTCGCTCTGGCTCAGGCTGGTCTCAAACCTGTGAGCTCAGGCAATCCACCTGCCTTGGCCTCCCAGAGTGCTAGGATTACTCCGCTGGGCCTTTTTTTTTTGAGACAAGAGTCTCATTCTGTCACCCTGGGTAGAGTTCTGTAGTGTCATAGCTCACAGCAACTTCAAACTACTTAGGCTCACGTGATCCACTTGCCTCTGCTTCCTGAATAGTTGGGACTATAGGCGTGACCCTGAGTCACTTTCCTCTGCTACCTAAGTAGTTGGGACTATAGGCGTCTGCCACAATGCCCAGCTTATTTTTTTTTTTTAGAGATAGAGTCTTATTTTATCGCCCTCGGTAGAGTGCTGTGGTGTCACAACACACAGCAATCTCCAACTCCTGGGCTTAGGCAATTCTCTTGCTTCAGCCTTCCGAGTAGCTGGGACTACAGGCACCTGCCACAATGCATGGCTATTTTTTTTGTTGCAGTTTGGCTGGGGCCAGGTTCGAACCCGCCACCCTCAGTATATGGGGCCGGTGCCCTACCCACTGAACCACAGGTGCCGCCCTGCCAAGCTTATTTTTAGAGACAGGGTCTTGCTTTTGCTCAGGCTGGTCTCTAACTCCTGAGCTCAGGCGATTCACCTGCCTCAGCCTCCAAGAATACTAGGATTACAGGCATGAGCCACTGTGCCTGGCTGGGTCTAAGCTTTTAATACAGTCTCACAGGACAGGTGTGGTGGCTAAGATGTATGGGACCCCCAGCACACAACTAGAGACTGGGTGTCATAGCACTGGGGAGGAAGTTGTGGTGTAGGGCAGCACCGAAGGAAGCCTGGCCCAGAGGAGACCCACAAAAGCAAAGAGAACACACCTCGTTGTTGTGAAGCGTCAGGCAGAGTTTGCATTCATATGAACCCAGGTGGTTTTTCATAAAATATGGGTCCTGAGGAGGAAAGAAACACCCTGGTTAGATACCACACGCACACTGAGCTGTTGCTGCCCCACGTTCAGAGCACAGCTCTCCCTCATGTCCAGACAAGTACTTTTTATTTTTGAGACAGAGTCTTAAGCTGTCACCCTGGGTAGAGTGCTGTAGTGTCACAGCTCACAGCAACCTCCAACACTTGGACTCAAGTGATCCTCTTGCTTCAGTTTTTCCATTTTTAGTAGAGATGGAGTCTTGCTTTTGGTCAGGCTGGTCTCGAACTCGTGAGCTCAAGCTATCTACTTGCCTCTATCTCCTAGAGTGCTAAGATTATAGCCATAAGCCACTATGCCTGGCCTAGTCAAATTTTTTTTTTTTTTGAGACAGAGCCTCAAGCTACCCCCCTGGGTAGAATACCGTGCCATCACAGCTCACAGCAACCTCCAACTCCTAGGCTCAAGTGAGTCTCCTGCCTCTGCCTCCCAAGTAGCTGGGACTACAGGTGCCCACCA